CAGGGGACTCATAAGAAACACACGACCAAGAAAAAAAAGAAAACAGTAACATTCAGAATGTGACCGCCTTACCTATAAGATGCATTCCGTGGAGGAAGATTGTGAGCACGACCTCCTGGACTACCCTGCCCGACATCATTGCAGTAGAGAAAACATTTTTTGTTTTCCTTTTTCCGTTCACTCGCGACACTATAAAATTCAAATTTATAGAACATTGCCGACCCTGTGTCCCACCCCCGAAAAGTTCGGGTACTGGCTATTGGCCAAGACATCATAATTTCCCAACACTGGCGGAGGTACTGGTGGTTGAAAAAAAAAAAAAAAAAAAAAAAAAAAAAAAAAAAATCATAGTCATCCTCTTTAATGGCTTGAGGGAGACATCAAAGCTCTGTTCGCAGGGGTCCTCTGTATAAGTAAGCCTTAGGAGTAGCGGTAGGTAGGTAGGTAGTGAAAGGTGATTTGAAAGAATTTGAAAGATGATAAATATTTGAGAGAAGGATAAAAAAAAATGATAATAATAATAATTAATAAATAATAAACCGTACGTTCTAACCCCAATACTTGAATTTTTTTTATTTATTATTATTTTTTCTTAATAGAATGCTCCGGTCTATTCGTGGGGAGCAACACGTGCTGGGAACCGGGTCCAGCGTCCCATATAGAAATACACAAGTGTTCAAGCACCGGGGTTATTACAACTATTAAAATTGACTAAACATTAATCCAAAACGTGATTGACAGACCATTACCCCTTCATCTAACAACAACTCTCATAACTTATTTATCATTACCCCCGCCCTCTATCTAGCGTTTACCCTTTCTGCACCTAAATCGACGAGGATACAGACAACTTCCAACCAAAATAAACCCACAACTACTATCCTCTATCATGTTCATCTAGTATCGGGAATTTCCAAAAGGAAACTAACCATACCTATACCTCTCGTCTAAAGAGGTGAGTGAAACGATGCAAACAGCATCCATAAGAGCAAAAGGGGTCCTCGGCTTCACCGTCTTGAACAAACGAGTCTCACTACAAATGCTGCACGCTGCTCCAGGTCACCAGAAGCAAGATAACCCTGGGGAGACACCGTATCGGTCGTCGACCACGCAACATATAAACGAATTCACCACGGGCCGCCTCCAATTGAGCAGGAGCGCGGTATCCCAACGGCATCTACGTAGCAAAGAGCGGAGGGCAAGCCCCCGATGAGTTTTGTAAGGTATTTTGGCGGCGGCCGGATCCCGCCCTCCAGCTGTCCCCACTTCTTCTCGCTGTCCTTCCTAAGATTGGCAGGGAATCCTGACGCATAGTCGACCGAAACAAGTGATGGCCAGGAACCTATCAGGTTTCTTTGGCATGGCACACGTGTGAGAAATAAAATATTTATTATTAGGAAGAAGACATGAACATTAATGTCATGGCGTTATCCACTTCTCCATCGCCACTCTCGACGCACCCTGCCGAGAACTCAACCCTTCCACTTATTCGCCACTCAGATTGAGGATTGGCAATACTACAGCCAATTGATTTATACCACTTCTACGAGCTCCGACTTAGTGTGGCTGTCCACGGCCGCCTGTTCAATTTTTCATCTACCCCTCATCCTACCTTACAGCACCTCAGATGCCGTTTTCGGGCGCAAAAAAAAGAGAAAAAAATCTCGAAAAATCCACAAAGTACGGTATGACTTTGCATGGCCATCCCCGGCCGCCTGTTCAATTATCCATCTACCCCTCATCCTACCTTACAGAACCTCAGATGCCCTTCGGGGCGTCGAAAAAAAAAATTCTCGAAAACATTCAGAAAATACGGTAACAACTGTCCCCGTGTCAGGGCATCAACGGTCTACTCAAGACTTCAATCCGTATGCCAGATTTTGCGGACGCACTTTGGATGTAGTCCGCCAGGTACAGGGAAGACACCCAGTTGTCATCGCGATAGGTGGCAGGGAGACATTGGTGACATACTTCTGGTCACTCCAGAGACCGGCTTCTGCTTTTGCCAGCATATGACCCAGATTCCGGAACACAGATCGCCGCTGGTTGTGTTACAGAGGCAAAGCAGCAGTCAAGCCAAAGCAAGCACACAAAAAACAAGCCGACAACATACCCCCATTTGTTCAACCCATTAATTTATTTATTGCTTCCCCTGCCATTCCCCAAAATTCCTTCCGATCCGGCTCTCTTCTGCCAGTCCAACAGGTGGTAGAGAGCAAAACCTCTTTTGGGTACTGTAGTTTCCTCATTTCTTCTGAATAGGTGAGGACGCTCCATAGGGTGGCCGCGTCCGAATTCGTGTTCATCGAGATCCGTAGTAAGTTGTTGGCCACAATCGCATTCTCAGCCACCTTAGGCCCATAAGATGCGAAATTTTTTAGGGTCTTGAATTTGAGTTGTCCCTCACCCCAAATCGTATGTGCGTTTTTGAATTTGTGACTTAAGATCAAGTTTGAGTCCTTCGGTGAGATCACTATCCGTGTCTCCAAGAAATCCAATATTCCCAGGCCTGGGTCCTTTCTTTTTATAATCAGATCCGGTGGGTAGCATTCATAAATCCGGTCTAATTTGCTCTCGGCCTGAGCCTTTGCGTCCGGGTAATAAACCGTGCATCTGCTCCCAGTGCTGTCAGGAACTTGTGCTCAGAGTACATGCACATCACATTGGCAAGGGAGGGACTGACCCTTCCTCCCATCGGGATGCCTTTTCTTTGACAAAGGACAAAATCCATCACCCGAAAGACGCAGTTCTGCAGCTGGAAGGAGGTCAGCTTTATGAGATCCTGTAACCGGACGGAGCCTCACCCTACTTCCCCGTGGGATTTTCGAAAAGAGACAATTTTTCCACGCAATTTTACTCGGATCCATTTTTTAGATCTTTGATGGAAATGCTCAAACATCCAAGTTCCTGCATCCAGAATTACCTCGTGGGGTAGTTGAGAGAACATTTCAGTGATATCATAGGTCCTCGCCGAAATATTTTTCCTTCATGTTACCATTTGGGAGTTAATCTCCTCAACCACGCCTTTGAGCTGCATCGTAGAGTTCAAATTAAAGTGTATCAGCTTTATCTTTTTAATTAGGTGATTTAATACGGTGGCTAGCAGGCCAGAGCCAACTCTGAAAGGGTTTGCGTACGACGTGACAATTGGTCTTCTTTTCGCTTTGTCTTTTTCCTTCGCAAGGATGTACGCATGCTGTAGGGTCCTGTTGTTGTCCCATCGGGTAATTTTCTGCAACCCCTGTTCCATGTAATTCTTCGTAATCTCAATTAGAGATGAGATAGGATCTTGCTTCAGGTTTAGGTAATTATCATTCTCAACAAACAATTTTCTGAGACCATCTGAATACACATTCGTGCATTCAATCCAGGTATCACTGTTGTTACGGTCCAGTAGGGCCATCACAAGTCCCTCCAACGCCGAGAAGACTCCTTATACATATTCATTCAGGACACAACCCTCCTTCATCTTTTCCCCCGATTTCCTGACCCAGTCCAGTCAATATTCATTCTTCGAGTTGTCAACCTCATTTGATGCATGCATTGGAGTGCATCATTACAAGCTTGTGATACTGCTTCCTTTGAGGCCAGTGTGCCCGAGAAGGGGATGTTCTTTGCATTGTGCAAAAATGGATGTATCCCAGGAGCCTCACTTAGTTTGACTGCTACATGCCCATTAATCTTGGGCAAGTCAAAATCAGCACACGTGCACTGAAAATTGCCACATTGTGCAAATGATTTTTGGTAATGCAGAAGATCGCCGACAGACTTGGCTTTCAACCATACTGCCCGCGTCCTTCTTGCATGCAACTCACCAAGCGGGGTAGGCAAAATATTTCCCCTTATCCAATCCTTCACTGAGCCTTCCACTTTCTTTTTGTCTACAGTGGTACAAAAGGGAATCTTAACAGTTATATTTACACGTGGATTTATTAAGAACTTCTTTTTGAAGACGTTGGTTAAGATACCTCTGATGATTTGTCTACCACCACGCTCTTTTATTGTTTTTCCATTGTTATTGAGTTCAATTAGTTCGACTGAACTCAGTCTGTACAAGTCCTTATGCTTTCAGGGGGCCTTGAAAAGTGCAATCAACTCCTCTTTTTAACATCTGACTTCGTTCTTGACCGTTTCAAATCTGTAATCTTCCATATTCTCCCTTCTTCAATCTGCAACTTCGCATCTTTCAACAACATTTTCACCCCATTCTTTTCAACTTTTGTGAACCCGAAGAGTAGACACACTAGTCTCCAGGCTTTAAGCCATCTTGCACCTTGATTGTTGGATACTTCCCATCCTTGGTTACTTTTCAACTTTCGTTTCTATAATAGCTTTAACACAGTCAGCAAATCAGGATGATGCTTTACGTTCAAAGTCGGACAATCAAATGGAATGGGTTCCACAATGCTATCCACAACGATTCGCTTACCTTTGGTTTGCTTACGAGTTCTTCTGCTGTGGTTCCTTCTGTTGGTGTGTTTGAGATTTAGTCCAGGGTTATGGCTACCGATTATTTGTTTTCCCATCTCATCGATGGTGCGCTCGGATCCAAACCAACTCCGGATAGGTACATAGTGATCTGTACCGGCTTTGCGAAGCCAGTTGTGCATTTTTTGTTTACTGTTCCCACAAGCGGCTCGACGATGTTCAGACCATCTTTCCCGAAGAGTTCTCGTTGTCTTCCCAATGTATGTAAGTTTGTGGTTCAAGGAGAGGTGCAAATACACACAATTGTCAGCATCCAAGAACCGACCCCAATCCTTGCTATCAAATCTGACCCAATATCAGACAAAATTTTTTCCTCATGCTATATCTCCCTTACAACAAGCAAGCAAAATCATTAGCAAGTGAATCCGGTTCAATGCGTCCGCATAGTCCGTTCCCAGTGTTGACTTCAGTTTAGCCAGTCTATTTCCGGCACGCAGTAACGAGCGCTTACTGCCGTAGACTAGTTTCCCGATATCGGATCCATCTCCGTCTGGATTATCGGATTATCGGGAAGTTGCGTCTGGATTATCGGAGTTTCGGGAAGTTGCGTCTGCTTCTCTCGCTCTGGAACACTCGGCTGCTTGGGTAGGCTTGGCTTGCTCCAGGCTATCCACGCACTCCTGGAGGTCGATCTTTGCCAGTTCCCACGCGCCGATTTCCTTCCGGTAGACGGCGGTAGTATGTGATGTCCTTCTCTTTGCACAGATCCTGGACGTGCGTATAGTGCAGGAAGCTATAAAAGTCTAATCGGAGCTTCATATACATCGCAAGGCCGCCTTCGTCTTCTTCCTCGCTGGTGACATGCGCTCGAAAACCATTGTCCTTCGTAACCTCGCTATGCTCGACCTTCGTTTCGCAACCCTGGTCCTTTCCTTCTACTTTGCACTTTCCTTTTTCCTTTTCCCTCTCCCCCATCAACATCATGAGCATCCCTTTTATCTCCGCCAATTCCGTGCTACTTTCCATTTTCTTCTCCAAGTTCTGCTTAAGCTTCCCCAACTCGTCACTCTCCTCATCCGACGATACTTTGATCCTTTTCTTGGATCGGGTAGCTGCTTTCACATTGGTACGCGAGCGCTCCTTCGCGCGCAAAGGTTTCGGAGATGCTTTCGCTGGTGTTCGATTTCTCGCCCTCTTGCGTTTTTCACTGCCAGATGGGTCCTGGTCTGCCTTGTCTTCATGCTTCTCCGCTCTCAGTCTCTCCAGTTCGGCTTTCTCTCCGGCGGGGAGCTTCGCCTTTTGGTCTACATTCTCCAACTTTTCGGTGAGCTGCTTCAGTGAATCTCCGAGGGTAGTTGTAACCCAGGCCTTGAGTTCTTCATTCTTGTCAGCACTTCTTGGTACTGGTGGTTCTGGCTGCTCCCTGTTCTCCGTTATGCAGATACCGCCTCGGCGGTTCCCATTGATCTTCTTTCGAGCTTCTTCGATAGCCTTGTTAATCTTGATGCTTTCTAGAATATCCATATACTCCTTTGTGAAGTAAGCTCTGTTGCCAGGTCCTGGAAACGCATTAGCAGCCGGACCTTTCTGGCCATCCTGCGAGTGCGCAGTAGGATGGTCGTTTTGGAGGCCACTTGCTTGGCCACTCCCTTGGTTACCACCGGTCTCCATTGGTAGCACCTTGCCCTGCTCCGGTATTACCCCACAGTACCGGCCGCAGTCACTCCACCTTCCTTTCCACCTCCCGATTGGCCCCCCGCTCGACCACCGCGCCCCCGTCCGTACACAATCGAAGGCGACGTAGGAGAGGAATATACAGCACAGGCTAATTCCCACTGTCCACTCTGAACTCCCAACGCTCCACTTTCCTGCAATGTGGAGGTTGACCTCGTAGGAGACCTGCCTGTCCTTCCGAAGGATGTCAAATATGTTAAGCCATACGTGTTCAATTCCCTTCAGTACAACTCTTCGTGCTTCTAGTTGTCAATGCACGCCCCTCCTTTCGGACCACGGTGCCCTTCATGAGACACCTGCCCACAGGTAAGCGCTCTATCGGATTTGCGCAGTTAAAGTGATTGACAAGACAAGTCGGATACGTCGAGATAACACCCTGATGACATAAAGTAAAAGAAATGGATTAAAGATTTTAAGATCAATGGATAAAACATATGGTGAAATCATATGTAAGCAATGCAAATACAAATACAAAGAAGATGCACGTTTCTCGAGCGAGATACAGCACCCCAAGCCACGGCAAGGTTGAAACTTAGGCTCTGGTCAAGAGAAATAAAATATTTATTATGAAGAAGAAGACATGAGCATTAATATCATGACGTAATCCACTTCTCCATCGTCACTCTCGACGCACCCTGCCGAGAACTCAACCCTTACACTCATTCGCCACTCAGATTGAGGATTGGCAATACTACAGCCAATTGATTTATACCACTTCTACGAGCTCCGACTTAGCGTGGCCGTCCACGGCCGCCTGTTCAATTTTTCATCTACCCCTCATCCTACCTTACAGTACCTCAGATGCCCTTTTGGTGCGTCGAAAAAAGAGAAAAAATTCTCAAAAAATCCAGAAAATACGGTATGACGTTGCATGGCCGTCCCCGGCCGCCTGTTCAATTATCCATCTACCCCTCATCCTACCTTACAGAACCTCAGATGCCCTTCGGGGCGCCGAAAAAAGAAATTCTCGAAAACATCCAGAAAATACGGTAACAACTGTCCCCGTGCCAGGGCATCAACGGTCTACTCAAGACTTCAATCCGTATGCCAGGTTTTGCGGACGCACTTTGGATGTAGTCCGCCAGGTACAGGGAAGACACCCAGTTGTCATCGCGACAGGTGGCAGGGAGACGTTGGTGACATACTTCTGGTCACTCCAGAGACCGGCTTCTGCTTTTGCCAGCACATGACCTAGATTCCGGAACACAGTTCGCCGCTGGTTGTAGAGGCAAAGCAGCAGTCATGCCAAAGCAAGCACACAAAAAACAGGCCGACAGCACACCCCCATTTGTTCAGCCCATTAATTTATTTATTGCTTTCCCTGCCATTTCCCAAAATTCCTTCCGATCCAGTTCTCTTCTGCCAATCCAACAGGTGGCAGAGAGCATAACCTCTTTTGGGTACTGTAGTTTCCTCTTTTGCCCCACATGTGCCCGCGCACCTCTCCACGCATCGCCATGGCCACACTCCCGCCAGGTTTTGGCAACCGCAGTCAACAAGTTTCGTCAACGAAGAGCGCGAGCCCCCAGCGCCCAAACACCACCAAGGCGGCGCATTTTAAAATTTCAGAAATGTCAGCAGAGGAGTTTCCAACGCTCCAAATGACAACAGCAACGTTGAACGCTCCCCCCCCCACCCCAATCCCTGTCTCTTATACACATCTAGATGTGTATAAGAGACAGGAAAGTGACTAGTCAGACCATTAAAGGCATAAATCAACAAAGTAACTCAACAGGCAACAAACAAAGGAAAAAGAAAGGGAAAAAAAAAACAGGGAAAAAACAACAACAACATAAATTTTGATCCCGAAACCCTAATTTCAGACCCATTAACCATGGAGGCAGAAAGTGGGGGTCCTCGTTAACCAAGGACAGCAGAGAGAAGGCTATAGGCTCTCATTATCAGGAACCCCTGCTGCTGCTGTATCATCCTAAACCACCAGTACATCCGGGCCTTGTTTCTGTACAAGGCGGATTCTCCCTGCGCGCCAAGCTTTGCCAGAATGCCGGCATGCCATTTGTGTTTCTCGTTTTGGCTGTCAGCGCCAGCCATTTTGGTCCCTGTTGGCCTGAGCCTCCCAAATTTTTGTAGAGTGTCTCTCGTCGTTCACAGTTTTAACCGCGGCCGTGTGCTTGTGGTTTAAGGGCCTTGCCACACCAATGTCGAAACATCACGACATTCGACATATGTCAGGAAATTCTCGACACTGCCTCTTTCGACAAAAAATTCCTCTTTCGACAGAAATTGCAACTTTCGACAGAAAAACCCTCTTCGCCACAGAGCATGTCGAAGTGAAGAACTCACAAGTCCTATGCACAAAAGAGACAAACTGGGGTGAAGATAGGACAAGCATTGGTCCGTTCTCCTTCGGGCAAGAACTCGACATCCCATGGGAGGACTGTTGAAAATGTCCAAGTTGCAGACCTGAAGTGGAAACAAGCCTTGCTCGAGAGGAGGTGTCAAAACCCTTTCCCTGACAGCTCCTGATTTTTTTTTTCACATCTCAGATTTCGACATGCTGTGTGGCGAGGAGAAAAAGTCGAAAATGCCATTTTCGATATTGGTGTGGCGAGGCCCTCAATTTTCTTACAGGGGTCTAGATAACAGTTATCAGGAGGGGGGGGAGGGGACCACCACTTGAGGGAACTCGCCAGAAGAATGCCTCAGTAGATGGGGCAATAAGAGCCTGCTATTTTCTTACAGGGGTCTAGATAACAGCTGTCTCTTATACACATCTAGATGTGTATAAGAGACAGGGCAATAAGAGCCTGCTATTTTCTTACAGGGGTCTAGATAACAGTTATCAGAGGGGGAGGGGGGGGACCACCTGTCTCTTATACACATCTAGATGTGTATAAGAGACAGGGGGTCTAGATAACAGTTATCAGAGGGGGAGGGGGGGGGGGGGGCCACCACTTGAGGGAACTGGCCAGAAGAATGCCTCAGTAGAGATGGGGCAATGAGAGCCTGCTGGGTCTGTGTGGATGTGTGCATCGTGTGTTTATGGGTGCATGTGCACCTGTGTTGTCATGTTCCACAAAAAAAAAAAGAAAAAAAAAAAAGAAAAGCATGTCTGTGCTGAAAAGACTGTTTCGTTGGACTTTCATCGACTCATCAAGAGGATGAACCCCAACAGTTGCACCAACCCGTGTGCATGTGTGTGTTTTTGTGTGTAAGAAAGCAGACGCCAAAAAAAGAAAAAGCACTGCCCAGGATGCATTTGACTGACGAAAAAGGAGTCACCACGCCGGCCAGAGATAGCTATACCCCTGAGATAAGTGGTCAGCTTTACCCGCACCAACCCGTGTGCATGTGTGTGTTTTTGTGTGTAAGAAAGCAGACACCAAATATAATATAAAAAAAAAAAAAAAAAAAAAAAAATCCAGGACCATCCAAGAACCTAAGGGAATGAAATGAGCGGAGTGACTGCCAGGTCTGTGTAGCTGAGCGCACAGTATGTGCGCATCCCTACACGCAATTTTTTTTTTATAACAAAAAGTGCTCCGATCTATTCGTGGGTAGCAACACGTGCTGGGAACCGGGCCCAGCATCCCATTTGAAAACATATGTAGAGCATTTTGAGACCGGAGCAAATCAATGTTACAAACGCCTCTCCAGGCACGCAGCAACACATGCTGGACACGAAGTGCTATTGACCCGGCTTCAGCTAAGAATACCCTGAACAATGTCACTGCTATATCCACAACAGAATTGTGAAAACTGCTGATCCTATTGATTTTTTTTTAATTTTTATTTATTTATTTATTTATTTTTTAACTATTTACTTGCCAGTGGAAAAGGAACCGGAGTGACGCTCACCCAGAATGGAAAGGAGCCAGAACTGCACGGTTCTGGTTTTTTTTTTTTTTTTTTTAATAAAATAAGACACAGACCAAACGAACACTGCGACTGCCGTACACCATGTAGCTTCCGCTGTGCACAAATACGACACACAAAACTCGATACGGAAAAGTTTGTCATGGCCCCTGTGCATAACGATGACACGCACAACGCAACAGTCAATTGTCGTAGACACAGCATTAGCGTGTTCCCCGCCTTCCAACCCAACCCAAAAAAAGATCTCCATCGCCCCCCACGGTGCCCTCCCCCTCCCTCCCCCTCCCTCCCCCCAACAACGCTCCAAACGATAAGCACAGTGAGAAGAGCAGAGCACTGTCATCACATCCGCAAGCTGTAAAACGAACGAACCACAGAAAGGAAAAAAAAAAGGAAAACAAACAGACAAAAAGACGGATTACATAGATTGCGCCTTCTAGAGGTGGACCAAGCTTCTTACCTTTACAAAATTTTCAGATAGCTTCGAATTGAGATCTTTGTGATGTAAATAAATTAAAAAAAAAAAAAAAAAAAAAAGATCTTTGTGATGTATAAATAGATTGATCTAGTAGAAGGATACGAAAATGAATAAAAAATCTTAGATAGATTGCGCCTTCGAGAGATGGACCAAGCCGAGATACACATCTCGACGCGCTGACGCATTCGAGCAAATCAAATGACAAACAGACAGCGGGAAAGGGAGGGAGGAGAAACTACCGTCTTCCCCTGGATAGAACATCTTGTCATAACCAAAAAAAATAAAAATATATTGTCCTTACAGCTGTATTCGGGGCAAATTTCAGTCCATATACAGCGATATTGACTGTACGTTCTATTCAGGAGAAGTGCATGCTTTCCTCATCAAAAACATGGAAACACTGAAGAAATGAAATCCACAGAACAGAAGAAGACGAAGATGAAGACGAAGACAATGACGAAGATGAAGAAGAAGAAGAAGAAGAAGAAGAAGAAGAAGAAAGGAGAAGAAGAAGAAGAAGAAAAAGGAGAAGAAGAAGAAGAAGAAGAAGAAGAAGAAGAAGAAGAAGAAGAAGAAGAAGAAAAAGGAGAAGAAGAAGAAGAAGAAGAAGAAGAAGAAGAAGAAGAAGAAGAAGAAGAAAGGAAAAGATGAGGGCCAATTGTTCAATTCACCATATCGATTGCCGTATCATGGTTCGGCTGAACATAC